AAAAAATAAATAGCGGGGTAAATGTATTTATTATTTACAGCTTTTCAGCGCCTGGCTCCCGCTCCGCCTGCTGCAGAGGGTGAGAAAAGACGACAGCGTTCAGCCCAGCACGCCAGACGTGTCTTGCGGGAGACTCAGGTGACGTGTAGCAGTCCCCCGAGTCCTTCCCCGTGGTTGTTTCTGAAGGGCTTCCTTCCTGGACCTGAGAGCCCTCCGGTTCTATCTGCTATTTGGCAGGCCGTGGCAGGGCCGCAGGAAGACGGCGTGGCGCTGCGGAGACCATGTCCAGCCTGTCTCTCGGGCGTCTGGGACGCGCCTGGCCTGTCTTCGCCCGGCCCTCTCTTTGGCAGCTCCCGCCTCTGCTCCCGGGCCCGGCCCCATCTGGCCGGCAGCCCTGTTTCCTCTCCAGGTAGTCAAGGCTCTCTTTGTGCTCAGACACCCAGCAGCTGCTACTCCCGCTGGCATCTGCTGGACGGGAGGCACATGCAGAGGGTGCCCTGCCAGGGAGCGTGTGCTCGGAACTGGACACCCGGCCGCCCCGACCAGCCGTTCCCTGAGGAAACTCCCCAAGAGCCGGCCACAGAGGCTCGGCCACAGCTCTCGCCGCTGGGCCCCCAGATACACTTAGTCCAAGCCACGTGGAGGAAGCTCCAGGAAGTGGCCTGCAGCTCAGAGGGGAACCTCTGCGGGGGAGGCCTGGGGTGCTGCCCCCGTGGCCAAAGCCGCCACTGGAATATCTGATTTGGAAACGCAGAGCAGCCATGCTCAAACCCCCGGTATTTTCAGTGGGAGGACAGGCCTCGCTCCTTCTGGTGAAGGGGACTGCGTGTTCGTCCCTGTCACTTGGGAATCCCGGCGTGGGAGCAGGGAAAGGGCTCTGTTGCCTGGGACCCTCCCTCCCTGCACAAACCGTGCAACTAGAAGCCGTAACTGCACATATTCTCTCTTGACGGTGTCACAGAAACTCGTGTCCAGTGGTGGGGTGGGGGGGGAGGCAGGGTACATACATCCTCCAGGATGAAGGGTTTCATTGGCCTGGACTGTGCGGAAGTCCCAACCGACACGTTGCATGAAAAGCAACCGTTTGGATTCTGGCAACAGCCGGAAGAGGTGTGGATGGTGCCTGCATTTGCCATCAGGCTTTTAACCAAGGAGCAGCCAACCCAGACTCATCAGTCGGATGGATGGAAAAGCCACACCACCGAGGCTGGCCTGTCACCGGGCAGGGAGCGGGGCATTTTCAACTCTTGTCCTCCCCCCGTGGCGACCAGGGTGTTCCGGGAGTGGATGTTTTCCCAGACTGACAAAGAGGATTTGCCAGCCCCGGCCGCACAGTGTGCGTGCAGGACCCTGCTGGTGAACGGAGCCGGGAGCCCTTAATCACGAAGAGCTAGAATTCTTTACATCCCCACAAACAGCGAAGCTCTAAGACCACTCACCTGGCTTCCCTGTTGTGGCCGAAAAACAGCCCCGATTTCGCGAAGACACCAGTTCCCTCGAGGCTGGGCGGCTCCGCCACAGGCTGGGCCCTCTCTTGGCCACCGGGCGGGAAGCAAAGTGCAAAACCAGGGCCCCAGTGTCGTTTTCCTTCTTAAGAAGCAAATGCAACCACCTCAGTGCCTTTTAAAAATCTGTGCCCCTGCAGATGGCACCCTATGAGGAGCTTTCTCCACAGCACAGCCAAGGGGCCCCACCCAAGCTGGGTCGGCAAAAGGCCATGCGCTGGTGAGTGACAGAACCTGTGTCCCACCCGTGTCCTTTGCCTCTGGGTTGGGCCCGTGGACAGACCCTCCTGTTCTGCCGTCACCCACGTGGCTGACGTGAGAGAGATTTCCCCACTGCTGCAGGGGCGCCTTCTCCGTGCTTTGAGAAGCCCCTGGGAAAACTTGCGGGGCTCATGTGCTCAGCGCAGAGTGCAAAGCCAGGGGCGAGGGCTCATGCCCCAGAGTGGGGTGCCCAGCTGCTGGCTCGCTCTGGGTGATCCACAGAAAGAGGGAGGGAGGGGCCAGGGAGGCAAGGCTTTGGGGTTGGGGTGAGGCATGATGACTTCCTGCCGCCCAAGAACTGCCCAGAGAGCCTTTTCAGAAATTTCTGGAAGTTTCTACGGGCAAGACGTGGCAATGAAGCTGCTGAGACGTGGACCCGTCTCCGGTTCCCTGGACACATCTGCTCACTGCCTCGAGGGGAGGAGGACTCCCACGGAAGGAAGTCACGTCCGAGGGCATTGCAGGGACCTGGGAATGTCTGCATCGTGTGCAGGTTTCCCCTCTAACCAGGAAGGTCTTTGGGCATTCCGCACTAAGCATCTGCTGGAGGCTGCCACCTCCACAGCCTGGCTGTCTTCTCCAGCGGGGAGGATCAGGGCAACGGGGAAGGAGACGTGGGGTGGCCGGGGAGAGGCCAGCCCCGGCCCAAGGTGCCCGCCCGGTGTCCCGAGGGGCTCTGCCGCTTGCCTGCAGACCCCACCCTGTCCCTGCCTCCTAACCCCAGGGGTCCACTCCATACCTGGGGGTGAAGCGGAGGAACTCTCCCTCTCTCCCAGTCCGTCTCCCCTCAGTCCACCCCACCTTGAGGACAGGGAGGGGCCCTAGCCCCGGGGAGGAGAAACTTGGGGAGGAAAGAAGGGCGCAGGCCCCTTCAGCTCCCAGCCTGTGTGTGACTCCGGCATCCCAGGTGCAGGGTGTGTGCCGCTGCTGTGAGGCTTCCACACCCTCCCCCAAAGGGAAGGGAGGCAGCCCAGGAGGGGGGCGGGTCTCCAGTCGGGGTCTGCAGGGCTGCTCCACAGTGGTGTGCTCGCCCCACCTGGTCCGACTCTGGGCGGGTCAGGGCCTTGTCAGCCTCTCAGGTCTGTAAAGGCAGCGGACTGCCCGGCAGGAGCAAGAGATAGCCTTAACAGGTGGGGGGTTCAGGAGCAGACCAACGCTGGCAAGCCCAGCAACATGTGTGCACGGGGTCGGGCAGGAAGCAGGGGCCAGGTGACCGGAGCGGGTCACAGGAAGGGCGGGATGAGCCTGCCCTGCCCCCGGTGCCCTGGACCATGCGTCTGTCACTGCAGCTGACCCAGAGCCTTCCTCCAGGGACAGGCTCTCAAGAGCCCACACACCTTCTGGCCGGACCGAGCTAGGCTGGCAAGGACGAGCTCCCCACCGGAAATGGAAAGGAACCACCGCTCCCGCTTCTGTAGACATTTTCCCTCTGAGTACAATAGTTCACTTTTATTTTCTGCCCCCAATTACAAGAGCTAAGTTTATTATTATTTTCAATAATAATTGCCTATTTTTGTCTTTGTGTAATTACCCCGTGCTAATTAGCTTTGGGGATAAAATAAAGGAAGTATTCCTTTCCTAGCGATAAACGCATTATTTAAAAATGAAGTCCTAATTAATCAAGCACTTTTTTAAACTGGTAATGAAAAATATTTAAAAAAAGAACCTTTCACCTACAGTGTATATATATAGTTTCCTAAGTACAGTAAATGCCTAAATCCTTTAAGGAAGTTACCTTGGCACATTAAAGTCAAAAGCAAGTTAACCACGAGCGCTCTACATATGAAAAACATCATTTTTTAACCTCAGAAGGATTCTGCTGAGGAAGAGGCTGGTGATCAGGCTGTGTTCTCGGAAAACGACACAAGCGTTTGGTTCAGACAAGTGACATCAGCAGGGACACCATCTGGGACCATGTGGCCTGCGCCTTCCAGCCAGAAATATCGTTTGGTCTTTACCAGGAAAAACGTAAAGACGCTGAATGCGGTAGATATTAGGGTATGAGCCGGGGCCCCCAGGAGTCAGTTAAATATCTGATGAAGTCTGAACTCGAATAACAAGAACCAACCACAAAGGCAAAAACACACCCATCCCCATCGCCCCCTGCCTGAGAATGGCCAACCCCCTGGACTGGCTGAGCCACAGCAGGTCCCCCTCTCAAGCTCAGGCCCCACTCCTCTCCTTACTGGCGGGTGGGGTGTTGGGGCGGCAGTGGGGGTGGGGGTCCAGAGGGGGACCAGGCCAGCTGTGCTAAGAGGACAGAGCATCGTTCTGAAACCCCTTGCGCCCTAGGTTTCCAATGACGACCTACAGACCCCGTGGCCTCCCGCTTAGCTAATTTCACAGGAAAACCACCCTTGTCCTCAGCTGGAAGACCACCGAGCCCCCTGTCTAGGCAGAGCAACACAAAGAGACGTCTTCACGTGGTGTAGCTCCTAACACTGACGGAAACCCAGGACAGGAGCCTGGTGACGGGGTGGAGCTCTCGCTAACTTAGAGCTCGCAGGCTCGCACCCTGCCTCCTTCAGAAGGTCGGGCGGCCTTAAAGAGCACGCCCACAACCCCCACCTCGGGTCACGACCCCTGTGTCTCAGGAGGGAGTTAGCTGTCGGATTTCAACTCCTCACCAGGGACCAATTCTCAGTGAATGGCTACAAGCCTTCTTTCCTCATACCACCATGGGCAATTCTGTGCAAAGCAGCTCAGGGTAAAAAGTGCATCGACTCTGATAGACTTCTGCAATAGAAACATTAAAAAAATAAAAAATACCTCTATATAAAATGAATTGTGCTTTCTTTTCAGAAACCGCAACTGGTTTGTGTCCGTACATCTTTTTAATATATATTTGAGAGCTAGGAAGCAGTCGAAAACTGTTTAATATTTTTCTATTTTCGAATCAGCCTCCCCTCCTTGGCCTTTCCTATGTAGCAAACGCTAAGGTTCGAGAAACAGCTCTAAAAACTCCAAGTTCACCGTGGTTCAGGACGTCTGCCTCCTCGTCACTGACCATTGTTACCTCTGGCGAGCGCATGCCAGGTCAGCAGGCTACGAAGTCTGTTGGGCGTTTAAACAACTGGGCCTTTCAGCCGGATGGTTTTGCGAGTAGCACATTAGCAAAGAAATGACAAACCCCAAGCGGCAGGGTGCCGCGTCACATGGAGGGTCCGTGGTCCCTAAGTGTCACCTTTCTGGGTCCCCCCAGGGTCCTTTTAGATGGAATGATCTTTTTTCAAGTATGATGATCTAGATGACATTTTATTTTTAATATTTCATTGCTCATTCTCTGAATGCATCAATAAAAATGAGAGGAGTATTCTTTTTTCTCTCTTCTGCTGTAAAAAAACTGAAGAACTGTTTCCATTCTTCCAGTTTTGCCGGAAAAAGGGCGGGGATGCCACGGCCCCACACCCCCAGCAGGTGGAGGCCCTGCCCCTTCCAAACCGTGAGCGCCGCGGCAGAGGTCGGGGGTCTGCGCGGCGCGGCCGCCCGCGGCACTCACCCTCGGGCCCAGAGGAGACAGCACCCCTGTGCTGCACTCGCACCAGGAGACCCCACATCCAGGGACCGCCTTCCTCTGAGGGTGCTGCTGCGACACGGAAGGACAAGCTGCGCGTGGAAGTCCTCCTGACCAAAGGGTCCGAGAGAGCCGAGGCACACGCCACATCCCTGGGACTGGCAGCTCAGGGGTCTGCAAAGCCGCTCGAATAGTGGCCCCGCCCCCCGAACCTTGCCTTTTGGCGGGCAGGACTCCAAGGAGGAGGAGGAGGACGCCCAGCAGCCTGGCCCACGGCCAGAGACCCGGATGGCTCTTCCTTCCAGTGTACGACAGAAGGGACAGTGTCGGCCGCTGCAGGAGGCTCACGGTGGGAGGGGCGAGCGGGGAGGATGCCGGTGCCAGGGTGACCAGGACGGCCCCCCGCGGGGCGGCGGCTCGGCTCTAGTCGTCCTCCTGGCACATGGGCAAGTTGACGAAGGTGAAGACGTTGAACTCGATCATGATGGAGAAGCACAGGAACACGGCGTAGAGGACCAGCACGTAGACGCCCAGCTTGCGGTCCAGCCTCCACTTGTTCAGGTGGATGCCGAGCACCTGGCGGGGAGACAGTGCGAGGAGCGGGCTGGGGGCAGGGAAGGGGGCACCGGGGGCCTGTTCCCTGGACAACGACACACAGGCCACGGACCCCAGAACTTCCTCCAACATGGGGGCGGGAGCGGAGGGGCGCTGCCAGGCACGTCCTTGGTCGGATGCGCACGAGGCCGGCAGGCTTGACTTGTCTGACGGCAGGGCGGGGCCGGGACACACAGCAGCTGCCCTCAGGGGACGGGCCTGCCCCGGCCCAGCCCGGCCCTCCTCTAGGGACAGCTGGGGCCTTTCCCAGGGCGCCCCCTTTGCCTCGGAACCCGGTGTCCTCAGCCCTCTTCAGCAAGACTTCCAGGGCTCCTGCTGGCCCACGGTCTGGCAAGGCTCGGCTTGCACCACCTTTTTCTGCGTGTGCGTGTATGTGCGTGTGTGTGTGTGCATGTTGTGTGTGTAGAGACGGGCTGGAGCTCGCCCTCGTTCTAAATTCTTCCCAGCCCCTCCCACACTTCCCTCCACCGCCGCCTTCTCTCTGATCCCTGAATGGGGGCTTCCCGGGGGGGGGGGGGTGCTGGCTCACAGTCGCCGCATCGGAGTGACAGCACAGACCCCAGGGAAGTAGGTCATGTGACCGTGGGCACGTCGCCCAGTCCCCGAGCCCTGGTGTCTTCTGTGAAACGGAACGGTGTCTCTTCGGGTGTTTGTAAGGACCGACTCCATCAGCAGAGGTAAAGGGCTGAGCCCAGTCTCGGGCGCATGGAGCGTGGAGACCTGAGTTTCACTACGTGCCAGTCCTGAGGCCTGACCATCACCCCATCTGCCAGCTCAGACGGGCTGGCCTCCCGGTGAGAGGAGATGACTGGGCAGCAAGGAGAGAGGACAGTCATTCTCTCCCTCCGGGGTCCTTTCAGTCACACAGGGAACAGTGCAGTGTGGGGGGGGAGGGCAACATTCTGGGGGTATCTGAAGTGACACGTTTCCTCAGCTTTGTCCCTCACTGTGGGGGGCGGGGCAGGGCAGGGGGGGCCTGGGAGTAACCCGGCAGAATCCGGTGAAATGCAGTCTGGGTGGGGCTTCTGTTTCGGGAGCGTGAACACTCACGGTGAGCGCCACAGAGCCCAGCAGCAGCACCACGGAGTAGACCAGGCCCCGGCTGTTGATCTTCACCTGCAACGACACACGTGCACCCGAATCTCAGGGCCGCCCGGGGCCCAGCCGCTCCGGGGGATTTCCACACCCGCCCTCCCCGCATCTGGAAGCTCAGGTGGCTGCTCAAGGTGAGCACGTGGCTGTGGACGGTCAGCTAACCGCGGAGTGGAGTCTCACTGTGCTGGTCGGAGGGGAAGGCCCGGGAGGGAACGGTCATGCTAGGGGCTGAGACACCAGGCAGGAGCACTCACGAGTGCTGCCCACCCCTCAGGCCGCTCTGGGAGCCTCCCTGGACAGTGGGTGCCAAGGAGAAGGGGGGAGCATGTCCCCCAGAGCCCTTGGCCGGGACAGGGCCGACACCACCACTGTTCCCGTGGGATGCACGCACCTGGCGTCGGTCTCGCTCACGAAGGAACGTAGCACAGAACTTACCGTGGATCCGTAGCTGATGACCATGGTCTGCAGACCCCATGGTATGCCGAGTCCCACTAGGATGTCAAACACGTTGCTGCCTATGGTGTTAGAGACCGCCATGTCGCCAAGGCCTGGGGGGACAGTCGACACGTGCCACTCAGTGGGAGCAGGTCCCCGGAAATCCCCGTGCTTCCCCGTAACTGTTCCATTGGTGCTGTTGCTCGGATGGGCGGGAATTCCTTCTGCACAGACTCGACATCTCTAAACCCCTTGCCCGAGGCCTAAGACCCACTCCCTTCGTGGAGTCTAGAGGGGCCTGGTGGGGGCTGAATGGTGACCTCATATGTGGGAGCCCTGACCCCAAGCACCTCAGAAGGTGACCTTGTTTAGAGTTTGGGTCTTTGCAGTGATAACCGAAACGAGGTCACCAGGGTGGCCCGAATTCAGCTTCTGATCGGCTCCTGATCGGTCATGATCGGCTTCTTTAGGAAAAGGGGAAACTCGGACACAGCACAGGGGGAAGTCACGGGGACACGGAGAGGGTCCTCTACCAGCCAAGGACAAAGGCCTGGAACAGATGCAGCTCTGCCCCCAGGAGAAATCAACCTTGCCGACCCCTTGCTCTCGGACTCCCGGCTCCGGACTGAGACGGGTCTCCGTTGTTGATGCCTCCCTGCGTGGGGACCTTGGTCACGGCGGCCGGGGGAATGCAGGGTGTGGCCCCACACGGTTCCCCTGCTGGGTGTGTCAGCCGATGTTCCCTGAGGACCCCCTCTGTGCGCCACCTCAGTGAGCCCCCAGGTGCTCTGAGGCGGCGGGGGGGGGGGGGGGCGGCACTGTCCTCGTGTGGCAGATGATGAAGCTAAGGCTTGAGACGTGCCCAAGGTCACACAGTTTTCGGGTGGTCCAGCGTCCTTCACCCTGGGGCATGAATTGTACCTGTGGCCCAGGCAATGGCACCGTGACCTTGGCCTTCGGCAGGGCGTCTGGTCCTAGGCCCTGCTGAATTCTGAAGGGGGACCTCTTCCCCCAACCAGGCTACAGGAATCAGAGGGTGGGGGCTGTCCAGTATCGTGCTGGCCACTCCAGGGGGGGACGTCACAGCTTGAGGGGTATTAGAAGTCAGGTAACAAGCTTTTACCAGCGAGACTCACTGGCTGAGGTCCGCTGTAATCTGGCCACTTAGCCCTAATCTGTCCTGGTTGTCGTCATCTGGCACACGCACAAAGGTGTGCGGCAGGAACAATGCCTGTAACCGCACAAATGCCTGTAACTGCACAACTGCTGTGGTGGCTGAGAAGCTTGCGGCAACTCTGACGAGCACCTGGATGACTGACTCGCCCCGCTGACGTGGGCCAGGTCGCCTCCTCTCCCACCTGCTACCGTCATCGCTGACCTCCAGGACACTACACCTTCCTCCAGGGCCTGGCGTCCCCCTCCCAGCCTGCACCGCCAGTACCTGGGCGGCCTAGGGCAACGGCGGCGGTGCCGGGAAACCGGCCTTCCGGTCTCATGTAAGACACAGGAATGTGCCGCAGCTGTCCACCCAGCTACTTGCCCCTGGAGCGGAGGCAGGCGCTGGACTAGTGGGGCAGTTGGGGGTGGAAAGGGTCTGGGAGGACAGGCTGGGCCGTCTCAGGTTGGACTGGCTTCCCACTCTGCGCAGGCACCGCATCTTTGAGGGAGGGGCTGGTGGCAGTGCTTCCAAATCAGAGGAGCACACGACTCACTCGGGGGATTTGCTGAAAGCAGATTGGTGCAGGGAAACTGCTGGGGGGGGGGGGTGCCCGAGAGCCTGCATTTCTCACAAGCTCCCTGTTGAGCCGAAGCTGCCGGCCTAGCTGGCGGAGGCCCGTGAGCAGCACCGGCGTGTTACGGCTTGCTGCGCGGCTGCTGCTCTGTGCGGCCGACGCCCCGCAGTGGTTTCTGGATCCTGTGCCCTGGAGACACTGTCTATGCTTTAATCCTGTCTGCTGGGTTCTGTCAATCTCATCAGTGCCACCCTTAAGGCAACTAGGCATGCCCTCCCCTGCCCCAGCCTGCACTTTGCATTCCACAGAGCAGCACTGCATCACAGCTGCTCTGAGATGACGTCCTCCCTCAGAGCCCCACCTGACCCTTGTTCCTACAGAGCCCCTGCTTCCACTGCGCCGGGATACCCACCCCCTTCCTGCCCTAGCCCTCAACCTTCTAGTGCCCCCCGCCCCCCACTAGCCTGGACCCCAGGGCCAGTTGTTCACACTGCGTGTCCTCTTGCCCCCCGACTTCCATGGTGCCCACCAGCCAGCTACAGCTCTGGACAGAGGTGTCCTCTCCCATGTGTGTGTCACCAGAGCTGGAATGATGGAATTTGACCCACGTTCACACGGCTAGAGCACCAGCCGGGCCCTCAGAGCTCCTGCCTTTCCTTTGGCTTGGGTACTGGTTGCAAAATGCATCCCCGCTCATGTCCACCAGAACCTGCGACTGTGACCTTATTGGCCAATAGGGTCTTTGCGGGTGTAATCAAATGACGACGAGCTCACGCTGCATTAGGGTGGGCCCGGGTCCGGTAACTGGGGTCCTTGTGAGCGGAGGGACCCTGGGACGCAGACACACAGGTAGAGGGGCCACACGAGGACGCGGGCAGAGCGTGGAGTAGTGCAGCCACAGCGGACACCCTGATGCCGAGCTTCCAGCCTGCAGCACTGCGAGGGAGCCCGCCCACCTCTGTCGTTGTAAGCCACCTGGCTGTGGTATGTTTTTTACGTCAGCGTTTGGAAACTGGTGGGGGGCAGAGTTTGTCACCCCCAAACATGCCTTTGGGGGGATGTTATGCTAAGCTTACTATTTTCAAAAAAACAAAAGACTGGGGAAAAACCTTTCACTTTCCCCCTAAATGCTTGAAAAATTTAGACAGAGGACCTCCCTTAGGAAGGGAGCTGTCATCACAGCTAACTGTAGTTTAGTATGAACTAGTCTGATGGACGGGGGCGGGGCCTGGCAAAGCCTGCTTGATCCGAGGCCGCTCTGTGCCCGTCGTTAAAGAAGGCCCAACAAACACTCGTTCGCCAGAAGTTTGCGTTTTTACCTCCATGCGAATTGCCTTTCTGCCCTTTGCAGTCACAAACCACTACCCACACCCCTTCTCCTTAGCTCAAGGAGGTTCGTGAGCCCCCATAGTCTTATGGCACCCCTGTATGTACATACATACTAAACTTGGTTATTCTCCCTTGCTAACCTCTCATGTCATCCGATTATTAGACCAACCAGAAGAACTTAGAGAGAAAAGGGGGATAGTTCTTCTCCCCGACAAACGGAATACTCTCACCTCAAAAGTCACACTGTTGAATTCCACTCCCCTCAGCTGCCACCCCCAAGTGTCCCTATTTGCACACTGCTCCAGGTTCCCGCCAGACACACCCCCACCCTTGCCTTCTCCTCAACCCATGTTTTCCCAGCCAATCCACCCTTGCTCCCACGTTGACGGAATAATGTCTCCTCTGTCTCCAAAGCCAACCGTCTCTTGGGGTGCTTGTCCTCTCCTCTCCTGTTTCCTCTGAGCTTTCACTCATTATTCACCAGCCCCGACTGCCCCCCTGCCCACCCCGCCACACACACTTTCCAGCTCTCATCTGCAGAAGAGGAGGGCCTGCGGAAGTCCCGGCTGGAATGCTGTCTCACTGGCAGAAAAGCCGCAGAAAATACAGGCAGGTTCTTTGCAGCCCTTTTCTCCTCCTCGCTGATAAACCCGGGTCACTCTGTAAGCCCCACACAAAAACCACCGAACAAACCCAAACGGTGCACAAGTTCCGGAACTCTGAAGCAGCCCAGGAAAACCGTTGGAGGCACAGGACACCCCCGCGCTGCCTTCCTGGGACTACAACACCCTCGCTACCACCTCATCTGCTGTAAGAAGCCTGGGCTTCAGCTCTCTTCAGTCTCACATTGGCGACTTCAGAACAAGTTAGTTTTTACACGACTGCACGCAAGCAAATGCTCCTCGAGGTCTGGAGGAGTTCGTCTCGGCAGCATCCTCCCCACAGGAGGAACCTGGTCCACGTGCTTCCAGACGTCAGCTTCCTCCCTGTGCGTCCTTCCTCGAACTCCCAGGCATGAGGGCCGTGAGCTGTGACTGGGGCAGGGGGCAGGGGGCAGGGGTCTGCACGGGGCCACCATGGCTGTGGGGGCCGAGACACCGCCAGTACCTTGTCGCGCCACGATCAGGCTGGCCATGCAGTCTGGAACGCTCGTGCCTGCCGCCAGGAAGGTAATGCCCATGATGACGTCGGGGATTCCAAACGTGTACCCGATGATCGTCACCTGCAGAGGAACGGGGTGGGGGGGGGGCATTGCTTACTCTGAGAGTACTGCACTTGAACGTGGCACTGTGTAGCCAATGAAACCATCTGGAATGTGGTTTTGTCTTAAAACACCTTTTGGGGGTTCTTTTTCCCGCCTTGATAATGTGCATAATACGCGTTCACTGTTTTAAGAACTTCAGAAAATAAAGTGGAAGTTAAAAATCACCTGCCACTTCTCAAGACCCACAGACAGCCACTATAAACTTCCCATCGGCCAGCGGTTCTCACACTGGAACCTGCAGAACATCCTCGGGCGGGCTTGTTGAAATGCAGACTCCCAGGCCCCGCCTCCAGAGCGTCTGCTTCAGGACGTCTGGGGGCGGCCCAGGAAACTGCATTCCTCACAGGTTCCCAGTGGGGGGAACCCTGAGGCTGCTGCTCCAGGGACCACACTTGAAAAGTGCTGCTCTAGAACACACCCCTGACCTTTCTGCTGTATTAGAAAAAGTGAAATCAGAGTACCTATCAGCATACATTTTGCAACATGTTTCGTGTAATAAAACACTGTGATTACCTTCCCATCTCAAGTATTCAACTACACTGTTTTAAACTGATGCCTGGGTTTCATCGTTTAGCTATAACGTTTCAGCCAATCCCTCGCCGTTGGATATTGAGGTGGTTTCTCTTTTTTGGCTCTTACGATCTCGCTGCAGATCAGTAACATTTATGGAGCCTTTGCTGTGTACCAGGTGCACAGGTGTTTTGCTTTCACAACCTCAGGTGCCCTGTTACTCCCCACCCACTGGGGAGGGAGGCACTACCATTATGCCCATTTGCTGCCCAGAGGAACGGAGGGTCAGAGAGGTAAGGAAGGATGCCAGCAGACACGAAGGTCACCGGTGGAGCAGGGACCTCTGGCATTGGGAGCAGCCACGCGGTCCGCTGACGAATGTCTGACGCTGGAGAGGCGGCCGGGGCCCGAGCAGCAGCCGGATGGGAAGCCCCGGAGGCGTTCAGACAACCCCGCACAGAACACCCTGGAGCTCCAGCTTGCCTCCCCGTCTGGAAAGTGGGAGCAGGGGCCCCTCTCAGGATCCTTCCCGTCTCGGCTGATGGCTCCCCCGCAGCACATGGTCATGTGACTTAAGGCAAACTGGCTTGCTTCTGAGTCTCTGCTTTCTCCTCTGTCAAACGGGCTCGTGAATGAGAATTAAAGCGAGAAAATGGGAGGCGACAGGGCCTGGCCTGTGCAAGATGTTCACCGATGTGTTTCCCTTCTCTCTGAATCACTAGCCTTGCCGTCTGGGGGTGCAGAGAAATGGGGGTTATCGGAGTCCCCAGATGAAGTGCTTCTTGAGTGCAAACCTCGGCCCTGGAGGGCAGCCGGAGCACCTGGACTGACACGGACATCTGTCCCTGGACAGAGCTTTGCGGAGGAGTTTAGAGAGACCCCGCCCCAGAAGGGAGCGCTCAGCTTAGCACCACCAGGACGGTGCGACGTCGTTTTTCTTCTAAGATTTTTTATTTATTTATTTTTTAGAGAGGGAAGGGAGGGGGAAAGAGAAAGAGAGAGAGAGAAACATCAATGTGCGGTTGCTGGGGCCCTTGGCCTGCAACCCAGGCCTGTGCCCTGACTGGGAATCGAACCTGTGATGCTTTGGTTCGCAGCCCGAGCTCAATCCACTGAGCTACGCCAGCCAAGGCTGGGACGTCATTCTTTAGGGCGCAGGGCAGAGCACACGTGGGCAGGCCTGCCCTGGGCTGCAAGGGAAGACACGTGCACAGGAGGGCTGAGCCACCCGTGCTTGATCCACGTGGGCCGCGGAGACGCCACTGGCACGTGAAGGCTGGGTCACGCCAGACATCATACAAACAGGGGCCTGGGTTATCTTCTCACTCCTGGGGATGCCTCTACTTTCTCAAACCACTGAACCACACGGCCAAGAGTTTGAAGGATGCAGGGAGGAGAAGGAGTGTGCGAGTGTGCACACATATCATCCAGGAGCAGAGATGCCTCCCAAGTGTCACTTTGTCCTGCATCCCAGTGCTGGGCCCTCCTCCCCTCTCAGATGCTAAGTCTTCCTCGGTCCTCCGTTTCCCCAGCTGTGCTGGGGTGCCGCGAGGGATGACCCATTCCGGATGTCTCTCCCTTTGGACACAGACATTCAAGAACTTCTCCCCCAGGACTTGGGGGTGAGAGATGTGAACAGTGGTGGGAGTAGGGAGGCACCTGAGACTTCACGGCTCCCTGGTGCTCCCATTGGGGCAAAGTGAAGGTCAGCACAAGGCCAAAGGCCGGCACATCTCGCCTGGGTAGCAGCCGGGCTGATGTGGGGCGCCCTACCGCCTTCCGCAGCGGAGGCCACGGCGCTTCCCACACTGAGGGCAACTGGAGTTCACGGCCGCAGGGAAGAGAGCCTCAGGCTCCCGGCCAGGCCCGGTGCGGAGACTCTGCTTTAGGAAGTGGGGGTGGGGGGAGTGTTATTCAATGTGCACCCTCACTTAGTCAATTAGTAGAACTGACTTAATAATGCCTTCATTTTCAGTAATTAGAGAAGAAAAAATTTCACACATTTCTTAATGTGATCTTCTCTAATTCTCATTACCACTCAAATGTCATGAAATACTTTTTTTTTCTTAAATTGCAATGTTGTTTTGGGAATGCATGAAGAGAAATCACTGGAGTTTTAAAAATCAAAGGAAAGATGGCGGCACAGGCAGACACGGCTCGCCTCCTCGCACAACCACATCAAAGTTACAACTAAAAGATAGAACCGCCGTCACTCAGCACCATCGGAAGTCGAGTTGAGTTGAAGTCCAACGACTATGGAATTAAAGGAACCACATCCATCCAGACCGGTAGGAGGGGCACAGATGAAGAACCGGCTGGTCCCTCACCCACGTATGGTGGATAAAAATTCAGCAGGGATATCTTGGAGTCCCAGCCCCACACCAGGCTCCCCCAGCCCAGGGCTCCAGTGCCAGGAAGATAAGTCCCCACAACTCCTGGCTGTGAAATCCGGCAGGGATGGAGTTAGTGGAAGAAACTTCTGGAGCCCCAAGCACTAGCTGCTTTTCCATATGAATGGCTGGTCTTGGCTCCCACTTCACAACTTCCTAAATCCTCTCAAACAAGCAACAGCTGGCCTCAGTGAGCCCCAGGCCTGGCACTAGCAGAAGCAGGCTGAGATTCACAGCTTGGCTTCACCTGGGAATCTCCAAGCCCAGCACCAGTAGCAGCCACCTCAGATTGCCCTATAGCTCACTTCCAGGTGGCCCTGGGCAAAACACAGATGGGGGCTGACACTGGCCTGTATCACCCTGGATACCCCAGGGCCAGTGCACCCAGTGGACAGCGATAGACCACATTGGAGCACCACCACCCTGCCTCTGCACAGCTGATCCTCCACGGACGGTGGGGGTTAGTGGTCAGTGGTCACAGCCAGTCCTTGCAGCTGACTGGCCTGGGTAAATCCCTTCCATTGACCTGTCAATAGCAACCAAGGCTCAACTACAAGAGGATGGTGTACTCAGCCCATACAAAGGGTACACCTCAAGTACCCAGCTTGGGTGATAGGGGAAGCTGTGCCACTGGACCCTACAGGACACCTACTACATTAGGCCACACTACCAAGACAGGGAGTCATAGCAGCTCTACCTAATACATAGAAACAAACACAGGGAAGCTGCCAAAGTGAAGAAACAAACATGGCCCAGATGAAAGAACAGCTCAAAACTCCAGAAAAACAGCTAAATGAAATGGAGATAAGCAATCCATCAGATGCAGAATTCAAAACACTGGTTATGAGGATGCTCAAGGAACTCAGTGAGGACCTCAGCAGCATAGAAAAGACCCAGTCAGAAACAAAGGATGCACTAACTGAAATAAAGAACAATTCATAGGAAAACAATAGTAGATGAAGCTGAGAATCAAATCAATGTTTTGAAACATAAGGAACCAAAAACCAACCAATCAGAACAATAAGAAGAAAAAAGAATCCCCCCCAAATGAGGATAGTATAAACAGCTTCTGGGGCAACTTTAAGAGGTTCAACACGCACATCATAAAGGTGCCAGAAGGAGAAGAGAAAGAGCAAGAATTTGCAAACCTGTTTGAAAAAATAATGGGCCTGGCTGGCGTGGCTCAGTGGATAGAGCACCAGCCTGTGAACCGAAGGGGCACTGGTTCGATTCCCAGTCTGGGCACATGCCTGGGTTTCAGAGAAGCAACCACACATTGATGTTTCTCTCTCTTTCTCCCTACCTTCTCCTCTTTCTAAAAATAAATAAATAAAATCCTTACTTATAGAAAAGAAAAAATAATGAAAGAAAACTTACCTAATTTGGTGAAGGAAATAGACATGCAAGTCCAGGAAGCACAGACAGTCCCAAACAAGGTAGATACAAAGAGGCCCACCCAAGGCACATCATAATTAAAATGCCAATGGTTAAAGATAAGAGAGGATCTTAAAAGCAGCAAGAGAAAAGACGTTAGTTACCTACAGGGGAGTTCCCATCAGACTGTCAGCTGATTTTCTCAAAAAAACAAAACAAAACAAAAAACAACTCTGCAGGCCAGAAGGGATGGGCAAGAAATATTCAAAGTATGAAAAGCAGGGACCTACAACAGAGACTGCTCTCCCCAGCAAAGCTCTCACTTAGAATGGAAGGACGGATAAAGAGCTTCCCAGACAAGAAAAACTAAAGGGGTTCATCATCACCAAACTGTTATTATATGAAATGTTAAAGGGATTTAAAAAGATCAAAACTATGAATAATAAAGTGGCAATAAATAGATACCTGTCAACAATTGAATCTAAAAAACAAGCTAAGCAAACAAGAAGAGCAGAGACAGAATCATGGATACAGAGAGTATTTTCATGGTTGCCAGAGGGATGGGGTGTGGGGGATGGGGTGAAGAGGGGAGGGGATTAAGAAGCACAAATGGGCAGTTACAGAGTAGCCATGGGGACGTACAGTGCAGTACAGGAAGTGGAGCAGCCGAAGAACTTATACACGTGACCCATGGACGTGAACAATCGTGTGGAGAGTGCCTGAGGGAGTGGGGGATGCTGGGTGGAGGGGGGCAAAGGGGGAAAATCAGGACAACTGTAACAGCATAATCAATAAAATAGAATAAAAATTAAAAAAAATCAAGTGTAAAGATGGGCTGGCCTTTGATCCTACTCGGAAAATTTTAAGTTTGCAAATCCAATTCATTTGCAGCCCAGTTTTCATGATCTTTCACTATCATTCTTCCTGGGAAGTTTGGGTGGCAGCTCCTTCCTGTTCCCCCGGCACCCCGCCTCCCACACAGCACTCCAGCACCTGTGGGGATTTTAGCCTTTGTCTGACACGGCACCGAGCAGTCAGTGGCAGCCGCACCTCCTGGTGAAAACAGCTGACACTCACAGTTACGAGCCACGTCCTATGCTGTAGCTCAGGCCGTGATGCCAGCCCCGAGGCCTTCTGGTCTCCCGGTGACCCTGCTGGACAGAGGTGAGCCTCCCCGGTTTGTAGAGGGGGTGACCGCGTTCAGAGAAGTTGAGTCACCTGCCTGAGTGTTACGGATCCTACGTGGGAAAACTAGGATTCACCCCCATCATCCTGGGACCCCACAGCCCACCTTTCCCCACCAATCTGCTCCTCTGGGGTTAAGGGGACGGCGGCCCTTGTGCCTCTGAAACCGAGACTCGCGTGTCCTTTCCCCGCCGGGCACCAGGTGTCAGGAGGAGAGTGAAGTGACTAGAGGGTACCACTATGACAACGCTTTTCAACCGGTGAGACGTGAGGATTTTTAAAACACGCAGTACCTGACTACTGAGTCAGGGGCGCTGACCCCCTTCCCCTCAGACTGTCAAATTAAAAATGTGACAACAGCCAACACAACAATAGCTGTCCAGAATGAATAAATCAAAATTATAACAATTTTTTGATCATATCAGCAAAAAATAATATATCCTTTGGTGTGCTGCAGAATTTTAGCAATTGGTGGATGTGAGCCGTGAGATGACAAAGGGTGAACATCGCTGTGCGAAGCTGCGCATGGCTGATGGGTGAGCTTCAGCACAACAGAGACACAGCCGTCCTGTAGCTGCAGCTCCTCTCTCTGCTCCTGGGCTCTCCGTGTGTGCGGAATGAGGGGAGGAGGAGGAGGAGGGAGAGGGGGAAGGGTGGGAAGACCCTACGGAATGGTGCCCACAGCAAGGGCGTGGGTGCTCCTGCTCGGCCCAGCCAAGGAAGGTCGGTACAGAGAGCTGTGATGCGTGGCCAGAGCCGCTGACAGGAGCTGAGCTGGTGCCTTTCCACCTGCAAAACTTCAGTCCAAAAGGTGCTGAAAAATTCCAGCCACAGACTGAGAGGCAGTTCGGGCTAGTGGCTGAGACCATGGACTCAGGAGAACAGTGGACCAGGGTTCTGACCCCACCCTAGTACACACTACTGCTGAACTCACTGTGTGACAGATGCTAATCGTAAAACTAACTGGGCAAATTACTCAGTCTCTGTGCCTCAGTTTCCTGCCTGTAAAATGGGCATAATGAAAGCGGGTGCTACGAGGACTAAAAGTTTCTATAGTTTATACACAGTTTATACATGCGCCTGCGCATAGGAAGGGGAGAGGAACCTCCCCTGGCAAGGGGCACAGAAGGGCCGGAGTCCATCTCCCACTGACCCCAGTCTCGCTCACATTTCCCCGGGGTCCTAGTGTTCAGCCCCCTAGAGCTCTTCCCAGAACCATCTTCTAGGCATCAGGCCCATCCTTGACTCCCAGTCCGTGCCGCCCCTGCCATACTACCCTGCCCATTGTGCCAGGTTCACCTCCACCCCCCGCGCCTGCCTTGCGTGCCTGTACCACGCTGGTCTGTCTGGCCACCCCTGGTGCATCGTGCAGCGGCTTGCACCCCTGCCAGTACCCCTGCTCCCTGAAACAGAAGCCAAGGTCAACTTGCCGAGGGTGGCAGGGCAGTGCCTGAGGTCGCTCTCCCTCCTCTGGAAGGTGCTGGGCAGGCCTGTCCGCCCAGCCCGCCCTGCGCCCACCACTCACCAGCCACACCATCAGGTAGGAGAAGACGGCGATCCACAGCGTGGCCGTGATGAAGGTGACCATGAAGAACTTCTCCCAGCGGGGCTTGCTGCAGTTGGGGATGGTGATGCACAGGAGGAAGATGAGTGGCCAGGTGAACACCCACTTGGCTTTGTCCCCTCTTGCCTCTGCAGGGGGGTGGGACGGAGCCACAAGGGAGAGGGAGAGAAACACCCACTGGGTTACACACCTGTCAGTCCACCTGCTGGTTTATTTTTTTTTTTTGAAAGCCAAACAAGAGAATGCTACCAATGTGACTCTGAGCAAGTGATCTCACAGAATCGCATACCTCCACAATGTCATCCGGAAAGTGGTCTTAGCAACATAATTCGCTAAGTGTTTGATGACTGAATAACTTTAGTCAGCCCAAATCCTTCGGAGTAAGGAAAGTGAGACCCAGAGTGGGAACGGACTTGCCCCGGGGAGCTGTAATTAAGGGGCCACATACAACACAAAATACAGACTTTACAGATTATTTGAGAAAACTCAGTAAACAAAAACAATGATATATAGTAACAATAAGCAGACTTGGGAAGGGAAAAGAATATTTCCTAGAGTTGTCAAACTGCTTTATTGCTTTTAGTTATTTGTTTATTTTAAAGATACCCAATCTAATAAATCCGAAATGGTATCTCCTTGTTTCTTTTTAAAAAATATTTTATTTATTCATTTATTTTTCGAGAGAGGGGAGGGAGAGAGATAGGGAGAGAAATATCGATGCAAGAGAGAAACTGATTGGTTGCTTCTTGCCTATGCCCCATCTGGGGACCAAACCCACAACCCAGGAATTGAATTGGCGACCTTTCACTTTATGGAACAATACCCAACCAACTGAGCCACACCAGTCGGGGCAAACTATATTATTTTAAATGCCCAGCTTTCAACCAACAAGGAGAACAAGCAAGCATGTCCCATACACAGGAAAAGATGCAGTCAGTAGAAACTGTCTTTGAGGAATTCCAGACCATGGATTTAGAAAGACTTTAAATCAGCTGTTTAAAAATAGGCACAAAGAAGTTTTTTAAATATCTAAAACACTAAAGGAAAGTATGAGAATAATGTCTCCCTGTAGAATATCAGAGTAAAAAAGTATAACAAAGAGCCAAAAGAAATCCTGGAATTGAGAAGCACAATAACTGAAATAAAAATTTTCCTTGCAGGGCTCAACGGCAGATTTGAGCAGGAAGGAGGAGAACGTCGACAGCCTTGAAGTAGGTCAATTGAGATTTTCTAGACTCAGGAACAGACCGAAAAAAGAATAAGGGAAGATGAGCAGTGTCTCAGAGACCCGTGGCACTTCATCAAACACGCCAGCGTGGGCATAATAAAAGCGCCAGACCACGAGCGGAGAGAACAAGGGGAAGGAAGAATATCTGAGGAACTCACATCCAAAAACGTCTCAAATCTGATGAAAAACATTAACAGATACATTCAAGAAGAATATACATTCGTCCTGAATTCACGTGGAACACTCTCCAGGATGGACCACGTGCTACAACGGAAAACAAACATCAATACATTTAAAAGGATTTAAGTCACGCCAAGTATGTTCTACATGCATTCCACGATGGAAAGGAATTATAAATCAGACAGAGGGAAAACTGGAAGAGTCACAAATATGTGGAAGTTAAATAACACACTCCCAAATAACCAATGGAGCAAAGGAGAAATCACAAGGGAAATTAGAAAATGCTTCAAGATGAATAAAATGAAAACACAACATACCAAAACTTATGGGACGCAGTAAAAGCACCGCTTAGAATTTTATAGCTATAAATGACTATATTAAAAATTTACAGCTATAAGTGAGTATATTAAAGATCTTAAATCAGTGACCTAACTTTCTTCTTTAACACAAAAAAATAGTAGAGCAAATTAAATCCAAAGAAAGGAGAAAGAAGGAAATAATTAAGATTAAAGTAGAAATTGCCCTGGCTGGCGTAGCTCAGTGGATTGAGCGCGGGCTGTGAACCAAAGCATCGCAGGATCGAATCCCAGTCAGGGAACATGCCTGGGTTGCAGGCCACGTGTCCAGTGGGCGCTACGTGAGAGGCAACCACACATTGATGTTTCTCTATCTCTCTTTCTCCCTCCCTTCCCCTCTAAAAATAAGTAAATAAAATCTTTAAAAAAAGATTAAAGTAGAAATCAATGGAATAGAAAACAAAAAATAGAATCGATGAAACTAAAAGTTGGTTGTTTAAAAAGATCAACAAAATGGACAAACTTTTAGCGAGAATAACTAAGCAAAAAAGACTCAGATTACTAATGCCAGGAATAAGGGAGGGTCGCCATTGTGAAACTCCCATGAATAAAAAGAGTAAGTCAGGAATACGATGAACAACTGGGCCCCAACAAATTCGATAACCAAGGTGAAACAAATTTAATGAGGACAAAAACCACCAAAGCTGGCTAAAAAAGACAGAAAAGCTGAACAGATTTATAAGAAGAGATTGACATAGTAATAAAAAAAGGGGACGGGAGAAAATTGGGGCAACTGTAATAACATAATCAATAAAATATACTTTAAAAATTAAAGAAAAAAATAAAATGAATTTCCTTTAGAGTAAAGTGAGGACCAGATGGCTCCATGGTGATTTCTACCAAATGTTTAAAGAAGAATCAGCATGAATCCTGCACAAACTCTTCCAAAAGACAGAAGAGGGAACGTTTCCCAGTTCTCTCCATGAAGCCTTCGTTACACTGATATCAACGCCAGACACCAAGAGAACAGAAAACTACGGACCAATATCCCTCATGAATACAGATGCAAAAACCCTTAACAAAACCCTGGCCAACTGAATTGAACATCATATGAAAAATGATTACACACTTTGACCAAGTGGGATTTATCGCAGGAATGCAAGCTGTGGGCCAACGTATGACATGTCATCGATCCAACATACCATGGTAATAGAATTAAGGACAAAACGACAATCACATCCACTGATGCAAAAAAGTAAATAAATAAACAAGGTATTTGACAAATCCAATGGTTTTTCATGATAAAACCCTCAACAATCCAGGAGTAGAAGAGAATTTCCTCAACCTGGTGAAGTGCACCAACAAAGTGTACCCCACAGTTAACACCATACTCGATGGTGCAAGACCGAGAGCTTTGGACAAGACAAGAGTGTCTGCTCTTATCCCTTCTAGTCAACGTTGTATGGAAGGGGTAGCCTGGGAAACTGGGCAAGAAAAAGAAGAGTCATTCAGTTGGAAAGGAAGAAGTAAAGTTATTCCTCTTGGTAGATGGCATGACCTTGTATAGAGAAAATTCCAAGTAGTACACACACACACACAAATTATTACAACTACAAAACAAGTTCAGTCAAGTTGCAAGGTACAAGAATACACAAAATTCAGGTGTATTTCTATACAATAACAATAAACAGTCCAAAAATAAAATTAAGGAAATAATTCCCTGTACCATAGCACCCGAAAGAAAAAAAATGTTTATGAATAAATGTAATAATCTAAGTACACAATTTATATGCTGAAAACTACAAACATCATTGAAGGAAATTCCAGGCAACCCAAATAAATGGAAAGGCGTCCTGTAGATGGATCGACGACTTAATATTGTTAGGATGGAAATTTTCACCAAATTGATCTACAGACTCAATATAATCCCTGTTAAAATTCCAGCTGACTTTTTTTTTTTTGCAGAAATTGACAAGCTGATTCTAATATTCTCATAGAAATGCGAGGAAACTGGAATAGCCAAACCAGTCTTGAAAAGAGAACAAAGTTGGGAGTTCTCTGGCTTAAACCGCCCGAATCGGGTTTCTCCAACATCAAGGTTTTAATATGGTTTCAGTAATAGACTCTGGGAGCTACCGGGGTGATGGGACAATATCTATGCCAAGGCCACCGCCCCCCCACCACCAGGAGCCCCTTCTGTCAAGCCCTGCCATTCATTCCTTCAAGTGCAATGTCAGAGACTCTGAGAAATGCTCATTGCATCGTGGACTCTGATAAACATGCAAACATAAGCAGGAGAAAAAACAGCTGCTGTTGTTTCACTAAGCTCTCAGATTTCTCTTCTGAAGTAGAAAACGACAATTTAATTATGCAAAAACATCTTTAAAATGAACTGCAACGACACAGATGGGTAATCATGGTGAAGGAAAACATTCAGAACAGATGCAGTTGCTGATAAAAAAACTTCAAACAAATTAACCTGGACAGTGCAATGAAGGAAGTGGTTAACTCGAGGCCCGTGGGAATGTGTGCGTCACGGCGGGGGGGGGGCCAGGTAGACGCTCAGATAGATACCAGGTAGATACCCTGGATGCAGGAGTGTCCACATGATCTGGAGCGTATGTCTCCAGACCAGTGGTTCTCAAACTCGAGCGTGAATCGGAATCCCCTGGAAAGCTTGTTACAGACCCAGGGCTCATGAATGGGCAGCTAAAAACTGGGGTCCAAGAATTCACATTCCTAACCACTTCCCAGGTGCTCCTGATGCTTATTGTCCTGGGACCACATTGGAGAACTGCCACTGCAGATGAATGCATTCAAAGCAACAGGTAAGATTACCATATCATTAAATTCAGCTGTCTAAACATACAATTAGGTGATTTTCAGCATACTAGAAAGCTGTGTAATTATTACCACTATGTGATTCAAGATTTTTTAAAGTACATTTTATTGATTATGCTATGAGTTGTTCCATTTTTTTGCCCCTTCATCCCCCTCCTCCCTGAACCCCCCTCCTACCAACATCTCCCCCCCTAGTTCATGTCCATGGGTCATATATACAAGTTCTTTGGCTTCTCCATTTCCTATACTATTCTTAACTCCCCCCGCCCCGTTTATTTTGTATCTGCCAGTTATGCTTATTCCCTGTACCTTTTCCCTCATTCTTCCTCCCCACTCTTCCTGTTGAAAACCCTCCATGTGATCTCCATTTCTGTGGTTCTGTTCAGGTTCTAGTTGTTTGCTTAGTTTGTTATTTGTTTTTTAGGTTCAGTTGTTGATAGTTGTGAGTTTGTTGTCATTTTACTGTTCATAGTTTTGACTTTCTTCTTTTTCTTAGATAAGACCCTTTAACATTTCATACAATAATGGCTTGTTGATGATGAACTCCTTAAATCTGACCTTACCTGGGAAGCACTTTATCTGC